GCTGCCACCCACACCACCCCAACCGGGGCCGGGGACAAAATGCAACCGAGATACATGCCCTTAGCAGGAACCGAACCTGGGTCTCTCTGGTCTGAGGGCTGACGCTCTAACCACTGAGCCAAACTGGCCAGGGCAGCATTTTTCTTAAACAAGAGGTAAATGAGAGTAAAGCAGGAGGCCCAGTGCCCAAACAATGGCAAACATTCTAAACACAACTATACACTTTCCCTAAATGACAAAAAAGATTGTAGTTTTATCATTCTTAGAAACCTCTGACCTTTTAGTCGGAGAAGGGCAAGAATTAGAGGTCATTTCTATAGCTTTTTATTTACTCAGATATTAGCCCCCCTATCAACCTATCCACATAGGGTAATAAAAATAAGTTCTGAATTTGTAATCTGGAGACTTTCATTTTGGACCTGACTCAACCAGGTGCTAACTGTGTAACCTCAGGCAAGTCACCTTACCTCTCTGGTCCTCAGTTTTTCATGTGAACAATGAGAACATGGAATTTTGTGATCTCTACGATCCTTTCCAGTTATAAAATGCTCTAATTCATCCCTCTATTTTTTTTAATGCCACAGCTGCAGCCTATTATTGCACATAGTGAAGTTGAAAATAACCATTCAAGGACAAAATAGGATGTGTAAATGTGAACACTCAAATCAGAAGCTTCTGGACAAAGAAGACAAATTCTAAAAGCTATTTAAAAAATCCGAATTATCCCTGTAGAAAAATCCAAGTCAAGTCACTAATATCCTTGCCTTTCCCATCAAGGAGTTGTAGCCAAACTTTGCTAGCAATTGGTCTAGGAACATTAAACATTTCACCTATTACTTCTCCTTTAAATTACATAAGATATATGATTTCTGTATATGATCTGTTACTTGGTTCAAGTGATAGCCAATAGAAGATGGGGAAAGGTGGATGGGGAAGAAAGTGAAAAGAAGATGGGGCTGGAAACAGAGACAGATGGGAAAGGTCTAAGGCCCAGAGGTTTCACTGAAGATCAAGAGATCAGAGAATGGGATAATAATCATAAAGACTGCAGAGGTGGAGCTGATCCAAGTGGCCACAGGAAATGGGAGTGAGAGTGGAGGAGAGGCTGCTGGAGTTCAGGAGGTCAAAGAACTGAGACGCCAACGTGTTTGAGATTATTCATGTGTACAGTGAAGATACTCAAGATGATGCCATGACATACATGGCTGTGAGTCTGCAATGAATAAAGAAGTTGGTGGATGACAAAAACAAGGAAGGGCTAACAAATAGTACCCCCAAAGGGCATAAGCCTAGGTTGTAGGCACTGCAGGATTAGGATATTTTTTATTTTTTATTTTGAAACATATTTCAAACATATTTGAAAATGGTAAGAATATTACAATTGCTAATATTTTGCCACATATGCATTCTCTTGCACACACACTCTCTCTCCACACACACATATCATCCATCATTCTTCAGTCTCCTTTATTCTAGAACAAGTCCTTAGCCTTCCTTTCTCTTTAATGACTGATGTTTTTATTTTATTTTTTATTTTTACAAAGGCCTAGAACTATCCAACGCTGAGAAGGAAGGATTAGGGTAGAATTCTTCTTTTATTTTTTAAAATATTTTTTAAATGACTGATATTTTTGAAGAATACAGACCAGTTATTTAAAATATTCCTCAGTCCGGATCTGGTCTGCTCTTTCCTCATGATCAGATTCAGGTTATACATTTTGGCAGGAATAAGTGATGGATCTTTCTCAAGTGTGTTATATCAGGAAGCACATGATGTTAATTTGTTTCATTATGGGTGATGTGAACTTAGATCACTTGGTTAAGGTGGTGTCTACCTAAAATTCAATTCTGTAGAGGTATTTTCTTTCTCTTTATAATTAGTAAACAATTTGCAGGAACACACTTTGGGACTGTGTATATATTCTGTTCTCTGAAACATCCATTGACGATTTTTGCCTAAATCAATTATTTCTATGGTGGTTGCAAAAGAGCAAATTCTAACTCATTTGTTCTACATTTATTAGGATTATAATTTTTAAATACCCCATTTAAAGCCCTCTTTTATTCAACAGGGCAATGGAACAACACTTTGCTTACATAAAGCCATCTTATGGAAGTTTCCATAAGAATTGTAATCCTTGGCTGAATCACAGTTCAGGAAAATATGAAGGTTTATCTATACAATACTAAAATAATAATCTAAATCAGTAAAATCGGGAGAACATTCACAAGCAACTGTGACATCTCTGCCACATTGATTTCTGCTAATTTCCTAAAAGAATCATTACTGTGAAAATATCAACTTTAAAAAATTTTTTTTTCCTTTATTGGTTTTAGAGAGAGAGGAAGTGAGAGGGAGAGAGAGAGATAGAAACATTGATGAGAGAGAACATCAACTGGCCACCTCCTGCATACCCCCCACTGGGGATCGGGCCCACAACCTAGGCATGTGTCCTGACCAGGAATCGAACCGATGACCTTTTGGTGCATGGGTCGATGCTCAACCACTGAGCCACACCGGCCGGACTCAACTTCTTTAAACTATTATTTTCTTAAGTACATAAGAAATTTAGCTACGTACAAGTATAACTCTCATTTTAAATTATTAAAATATTTTCTCATAGGAAATATGTTCTATTTAACAATTCAATAATGACCTTTAATCCTCACTCAGAAAAAAAAAAAAAACTTAAATGTCTTTAATGCAATTCTGTTTTATGTCTCCTTTGTTAATAATTACTAATCTGACTTATATTGCCAAATTCATTTACCCAAGGTCAAATACAATCAGCACTAAATTTTTGTCTTTTGCAGCTCCTAGAAAGATAATGCAATACAAACCCATAATCGTATAGGAAAACTGTTCTGATTAAGGGAAATAACTGGCAATTGGGGCTGAGGTATTGCCCTTTCCTACACTAAGTTTAAATGTGTCTCTGTAACAGCATTTTCTAACAAATACCAGGCTCCAACTATAAAGCTGGCTTCTTTGTGAACTGCCTAGTCAGGGCTGAAGCTGGTAAAAAGCATTTAAATGGGGAGATGGGACTTCATATTCTTTCAGCAGTATTTTCTACTTTCTAAAGTTTAATGAGTCTAGGGTGGATATTTGAATAGTCCCTGTCAGAGTCTCATTATACCTGAAATTTCTAAAGCAGAGGAAGATTAATCACACAGCAAATAAAAATAAAGAAAAAGATGAAGATGCATTTAACTGGCATAAAGAACAAATGTTTTTTTTTTTTTGTTTGCCTGTTTCATGCAGGCAATAAATGTGTTTGTAGTACTAATCCTATATAAATATCAAGGCTCATACATTATGATATAAAAAAGTGAATAATTAACTAAAAATTGTTATTGAAAGGGATCATAATTTCAGATGAAGAAAATGGTCTCCTTTTACAAAGAAAAGTACTTGTTTAAAATGATTTCCATTTGATGCCAAAAAACCAGGGATTATAGTATAAGATGTGGGCTGAAAATAAAGATTTGGCAATTCTGGCATACTGTTCTTAATTAAAGCTATGGGAGTAAAGTCACCCAAAGAAAGCATTAGAGTGACAAAAATAAGAGGGCCAAGAGGACTCCAGAGGAACCCCAATATTTATTTATTTATTTATTTATTTATTTATTTATTTATTTATTTATTTATTTATTTATTTCCTACCCGAGGACATTTTTCGATATTTTGTTCAGATAGAGCGGGAGGGAGAGAGAGAGAGAAACATTGACGTGAAAGGGACACGCTGAGTGGCTGCCACCCGCACGACCCACCCAGGGCCGGGGACAAACTGCAACCGAGGTACGTGCCCTTAGCGGAAACCGAACCCGGGTCTCTCCGGACCGCAGTCCGACGCTCTAACCACTGAGCCAAACCGGCCAGGGTGAAACCCCAATATTTAAAAGTTGCAAGAAAGTGGAGCCCTCGTAAATAGTTCAAACAGAGACATAGAAGGAAAACCAGGAGAATATGCTGTCACTGAAGCCAAGGGTCTTGAATATTTTAAGAGAGGAGTGTGCAGGAGTGCCAACTACTGCCAAGAAGTTAAACAAAATAAGTACTGAAAATGTACCATTAGACTTCAAGGTCATTCAAGAACTTGTCAAAATCATTTTCCAAAGGAGGAGGTACAGGACAGTAGTGTGAATGCTCCCTTCAGGAGCAAACTCTGAACAGGAGAGAGGATAGTAACTGGAAGGAACAAGAGATCAAGGGAAGGGGAAAACAGTTACAAAGGGCAATTCTGAACAATTGGGAAATTCTGAATATGAACTAGATATTAAATAATATTACTCTAGCAATGTGAATTTTTTTTCAGTGACATAGTATTGTACTTATATCCTTTTTAGAAGATTCATGTGAAGTATATAGAGGTTAACATAATGTCTAGAACTTTCTTTTTTAATTTTTATCTATTGATTTTAGAGAGAGTGAGGAAGGAAGAAAAAAGAAACATGGATTTGTTGTTCTACTTATTTATGCATTCATCTAAACTTTCAGAAAATTCTTTAGAGAACAACAAAGATAAAGGAAACAATGACTGTAAAGAACCTAACACTATGAGTGAGGGGGTTCTTATAGTTGCATAGTACTCCATTGTGAACATGTACCACAGCTTCTTTATCCACTCATCTACTGATGGACACTTGGGTTGTTTCCAGATCTTACCTATTGTAAATAGTGCTGCTATGAACATAGGGGTACATATATTCTTTCTGATTGGTGTTTCGGGTTTCTTAGGGTATACAAAATTAACCCAGAGACATAGAGGTGGGGTACAGACTGACAAGCCTCAGAGGAGCGGGGTTTGGGGGGAAGAGATAAACCACAGAACTTACATGCATGTATGCATGACCAATGAACATAGACAACAAAGCTGGGGATAGAGCAGGGTGGGGGAGGGGAGGAGGGTGTCATTGGGGGAAAAATGAGAAACATCTGTAACAAAAACTAATAAATAACAATAATAATAATAAAAAAAGACTGGGTGTTTGGCGGTGGTGTCGGCGGCGGCTGAAGCAAAAGAGTTTGGCGCGATGTCTCACACCATTTTACTGGTACAGCCTACCAAGAGGCCAGAAGGCAGAACTTATGCTGACTATGAATCAGTGAATGAATGCATGGAAGGCGTTTGTAAAATGCATGAAGAACATCTGAAGAGAATGAATCCCAACAGTCCCTCTATTACATATGATATCAGCCAATTGTTTGATTTTATTGATGATCTGGCAGACCTCAGCTGTCTTGTTTACCGAGTTGATACCCAGACATACCAGCCTTATAACAAAGATTGGATTAAAGAGAAGATCTACGTGCTCCTTCGTCGGCAGGCCCAACAGGCTGGGAAATAGTTGTGTTGGAAGCACTGGGGGTTGGGGGTGGGCTTGGAACACAGGTGTGTACAGCGATCTGTAGTGGAAGTCTTGTATTATAGTAATCCTGTTTCCATTTTGGTACATTCTAGCCAAGATTGAATGTGTTAGATGAAATGTGAGGATCTTGTTCAATCTGAACTTCCATCACCCCCTTTTTTTTCTCTTTTTTTTTTTTTTTACTTAAACATTATTATGATTTAGAAGGAAGTTTTTCTTTGTCAAGTTAATGTTGGTTCCAATTGTTTAAAAACTGTTCATATTGACCCAGACACAGACTGACATCCCTCAGAAGAGGGGATGGGGGGGTGGGGTGGTGGGAAGAGATAAACCACAGAACTTATATGCATGTATGCATGACCAATGGACATGGACAACTAAGCCGGGGACGGGGCGGAGGTGGGGTGGGGTGGGGGGTGCCAATGGGGTAAAAAGGTAAAAAAAAAAACAAACAACTGTTCATATCTACTTTATAACATTCACTGTACTAACCCTTCTTCAAGTTTGGGTGGGGGGTGGTAATACAGTTTAATTATGTCCTAAGATAAAGTCTTAGTGAAAAACAAATAAATGGTCTTTAGTTAAAGAAAAAAAAAAAAGATTGAGGGGGTTGGGGGATATGGGGCTCGGCATGGAGGGAGGGGATTTCTCAGGTAATTCTGAATGGCTCGATTGTTAGATATTTAAAAGACAAAATTAACTACATGTTATTCCAAGAATTAAAGAAATATGTGGTGGCTATGTAGTATTTTTAAAATTTTAAGTAAAGAGTACTCATACAACTCAACAAAAGGAAGACAAGGAACCCAATTAAAAAATGGGCAGAGGACCTAAATAGACCTCTCCAAACAGAACATACAAAGGGCCAAGAGACATGAAAAAATGCTCAATGTCACTAATCGTCAGAGAGATGCAAATTAAAACAACTATGAGATATCACCTCACACCTGCCAGAATGGCTGCCATCAACAAATCATCAAACAACAAGTGTTGGCGAGGGTGTGGAGAAAAGGGGACTCTAGTACACTGCTGGTGGGAATGCAGACTGGTGCAGCCACTATGGAAACAATATGGTGTTACCTCAAAAAATTAAAAATTGAACTGCCATTCGACCCAGTGATCCCACTTCTAGGAATATACCCTAAGAAGCCTGAAACACCAATCAGAAAGAATATATGTACCCCCATGTTCGTAGCAGCACTATTTACAATAGCTAAGATCTGGAAACAGCCCAAGTGTCCATCAGTAGATGAGTGGATTAAAAAGCTGCGGAACATATACACAATGGAGTACTATGCAGCTGCAAGAAAGAAAGATCTCTTATCCTTTGTGATGGCATGGAAGGACCTGGAGAATATTATCCTAAGCGAAATAAGCCAAGAAGAGAAAGACAAATATCACATGATCTCACTTATTTGTGGAATGTAATGAACAAAATAGACCCAGAGACATAGAAGTAGGGTACAGACTGGCAAACCTCAGAAGAGGGGGATGAGGGTGGGGGGAAGGAAGCGATAAACCACAGAACTTATATGCATGTATGTGCAACCATGGACATAGGCAACAATGCTGGAGGTGCGGAATTGGGAAGATGGTGTCAATGGGGAAAAAAGGAGAAACATTTGTAACAAAAAAATTTAATAAAAAATAAAATAACAAATATGAATAAAAAAATGCTGGGGACAGGGGAGTGGAGATCAGGAGGAGGGAGTCAATGAGGGAAAAAGGAGAAACATCTGTAACAAAAAAAAATTAATTAAAAAAGAAAAAATCAAAAATAATAAAATTTTTTTAAAAAATTAAATATAGTAAAAAAAGAGAAAACAATTCATTTACAATAGCATCAAAAGAATAAAATATTTAGGCTAAATTTAGCAAAAGAAGTGTAAAACTTCAACTCTGAATACTATAAAACATTGTTTAAAAAATTGAAGAAGCCCTGGCCAGTTTGGCTCAGCGGTTAGAGCGTCGGCCTGCGGTCCGGAGAGACCCGGGTTCGGTTCCCGCTAAGGGCACGTACTTCGGTTGCAGTTTGCCCCCGGCCCTGGTTGGTTGTGCGGGTGGCAGCCACTCGATGTGTCCCTTTCACATCGATGTTTCTCTCTCTCTCTCTCTCTCCCTCCTGCTCTATCTGAACAAAGAATGAAAACGTGTCCTCAGGTGAGGATAAAAAAAAAAATTGAAGAAGCCCTGGTCAGTTTGGCTCAGCGGTTAGAGCGTCAGCCTGTGGTCCAGAGAGACCCAGGTTCGGTTCCCACTAAGGGCATGTATCTCGGTTGCAGTTTGTCCCTGACTCTGGTTGGGTTGTGTGGGTGGCAGCCACTCGATGTGTCCCTTTCATGTCAATGTTTCTCTCTCTCTCTCTCTCTCTCTCTCTCCTCTCCTCTCCCTCCCTCCCTCTCTATCTGAATAAAAAAAAGAAAGGGAAAAATGTCCTCAGGTGTGGATAAAAAATAATAATAATAAATTAAAGAAAACCTAAATAAATGGAAAGATATCCCACATTCAAGATCAGATGGTTGACTGGTATGATGGCAATCTCCCCAAATTGATCTACAGATTCAAAGCAATCCCATCAACATTCCAGCTGACTTCTTTTGAGAAATTGACATACTGTTCTCAAAATTCATATGGAAATGTAAGGAGACCAGAGAGCCAAAGCAATCATGAAAAAGAGAAACAAAGTTGAAGGACTCACACTCCAATTTAAAAACTTTCTACAAGAGCTACCATAATCAAGACAATGTACTACTGGCACAGGGATAGACATATAGATCAATGGAATAGTATTGAGAGTCCAAAAATAAACTCTCCCATTTATGGTCAACTGAGTTTTGACAATAGTGCCAAGACCATTCAATAGGGAAAGTATTGTCTTTTCAACAAATGATGCTGGGACTAGATATCCACCTGTAAAGAATAAATTTGTACCCCTACCTCATTCCATATAGGAAAATTAACTCAAAATGAATCAAAACCTAAATATAAGAGCTAAAAAATACCCTGACTGGTTTGTTTCAGCGGTTAGAGCATCGGCCCACAAACCAAAGAGTCCCGGGTTTGATTCCGGCCAAGGGCACATACCTTGGTTGCGGTTTGTCCCTGGCCCCAGTTGGGATCGTTTAGGAGGCAACCGATCAATATGTGTCTCTCTCACATCGATGTTTCTCTCTCTCTCTCTCTCTCTCTCTCTCTCTCTCTCTCTTCCTCTCTCCCTCCCTCCTGCTCTATCTGAAGATAAATGAAAAAATATCCTCAGGTGAGGATTAAAAGAAAGAGCTAAAAATATAAAACTCAGAAGAATACATAAGCATAAATAACCTTGGATTTGACTGTGGATTCTTAAATGTAAGAATTCCTAGACAAATGCACAAGCAACCAATAAAAAATAAATTGGACTTATCAAAATTAAAAACCTTTGTGCTTCAAAGGACATCATCAAGAAAGTAAGATGACAATCCAAAGAATGGGAGAAAAATTTGCAAATCATATATTTGATAAGGAACTTATAACAGGAATATATAAAGAATTCTTACAACAAAATAATATAAAAGTAATAATTAAAAATGGACAAATGATCTGAAGAAACATTTCTCCAAAGAAGATCTACAAATGGCCAATAAATACATAAAAAGATGTTCAACATCATTAGTCATTGGGAAAATGCAATTGAAAACCTTAATAAAACAACACTTCATACCCTCTAGGATGGGTATAATCAAAAGGACAGACAATAACAAGTGCTGCCAAGGATGCGGAGAAATTGGAACCATCATACATCGCTAGTGCAGCTATCTGGTAAAACAGTTGGAAGGTTATCAAATGTTAAACATTGAGGTACCATGTGACTGAGAAATTCTACTCCTAGGTATATACCCAAGATAACTGAAAACGTGTTCACACAATAACTTGTGCTTACATGTTCATAGTAGCAGTGTTCACAATAGTAAAAATGTAGAAACAAAACATCAGTTGATGAATGGAGGAATACAATGTGGCATATTCATTCAATGGAATATTATTCAGCAATAAAAAGGAATAAAGTTGTGATTCATGTTACAACATGGATGAACTTCAAAAATATTATGCTGAGTGAAAGAAGACACAAAAGACTCCATATTGTCTGATTATATTTATATGAAATGTCCAGAATAGCCCTAATGTATAGAGGAAGTAGGTTTGTGATTGCCTACGGCTGGAGAGGTGGGGGTGAGTGGGTATGAAAGTGACTACTAATGGGTTTCGGAGGGGAGATGAAAATGTTCTAGAATTGAATGTGGTAATGGTTGTATAGCTCTGTGAAAAAACTAAAAACCACTGAATTATAAACTTTAAACTGGTGAATTGTGCAGTATGTGAATTATATCTCAATAAAACTGCTATTTTAAAAAAGTGATCCAGGCTAGGCAGGTGTGGCTCAGTGGATTGAGCATCGTATCATGGACCGAGAGGTCCTGGTTTGATTCCCAGTCAGGGCACATACCCAGGTTGTGGGCTTGATCCCCAGTAGGGGGCGTGCAGGAGGCAGCCAATCCATGTTTCTCTTTCAAGTCGATGTTTCTGTCACTCTCTCCCTTCCTCTCTCTCTAAAAAAGTCAATAAAAACATATTTTGAAAATATTTTTAAAGTGATCTAGAAAAATAGTTTGGTATTTCCTCAAAAAGTTAAACATAGATTTACCATATGACCCTGCAATTCCACTCCTAGGCATATACCCAAAATAATTGGAAGTAGGAACTCAAACAAGTACACATACACTCATGTTCATAGAGTACTATTTATAGCAGCCAAAAAATGAAAACAACCAAAATGTCCATCAACAAATAAATGGATAAACAAAATGTGGTATATACATATAATGAAATACTATTCAGCCTTAAATAGGAATGATGTACTGATACATGCCACAACGTGGATGGACCTCAAAAACATTATGCCAAGTGAAAGAAGCCAGACACAAAAGGTCACACTGTGAATTATTCCATTTACATGACATGACAAATCCAGAATAGGTAAGTTCATAGAGACAGAACACAGATTGGTGGTTGCCAGGGGTGGCAGAGAGGGAAATAGGGAGAAACTGCTTAATAGATAAGGATTTTCACTTTGAAGTGATGGAAATGTTTTGGAAGTAGATAGAAATGGTGGCTATACAACATTATGAATGTATCAAATGCCCCTGAATTATTCTCCATGAAATGGTTAATTTTATGTCAGCAAATTTCACCTCAATACATTATTTTTTTTAAATCAATCCTAAAATATAAGACATTTTAGAGCTTTTAAAAGATTTATTTCATGACATGCTTACAGATTTGAGAGTTAGTGCACCTCCCCTGTCCCTACTGTTATTAGCTTGCTACCTCACCAGCCCAATTCAACTAGGGAGGGGAGGGAAGCAGCGCTGTTAACAACAAGGTATCTAAGGACTACTGGGCAGGATTCATTTTATGCTTCTTCTCAACTGCCGTTCATCGTGTGATGTGGAAAGTGATCAGACTTAATCTAATCCTGGTTTATTTTCCACAACACAGGAGCAGCAAGGGAGCAGCTCTAGACTGCTTTTCTGCTACACATTTGAAACCAAAAGGAAAGCGGGTCACACTAATTAGTATGGGACACTCTACTCTGCATCCTAAACTCTCCACATTAAGCCTAAGTAAACTTCCAAAGCCAATATGTGGAATAGAAATTGTGAAAATTATCTATACCTAGATGACAAATGAATGGAGCATAACAGCAAATTATTCACAATTGTCCCAGCTTGTTTGTTTTTATTTTAATTTGCTTGTAAAGACTATGTCTCTTAAACACTCAAGTGAGTTTCAACTAGATTCTAGTAGCTATGAGAAAGAACCTCAGTATAAAATAAAGAAAATATTTAAGCCTCTAATTCTATGGGGGTAGTAGGAGGCATGTCATCTATTTAGAAACAACACTCTTTTGGAGAAGCAGATGCAGCAGCATTTCCCAAGTTCTACCTAGAATATAGTAAAAACATGAGGCAAATCTCATAAAGTTCTGTGTGGAATAGCTATAAAAATAATCTGATCACTGAGTTATAAAACCTAATAAAGATTCAATGATGTTACTAAATGTTACATAGGTATGGATATAGCTATTTATAAGCATTTTGAATAAACAAATTTACACAGTTTCTTGTTCCCTGCCACTGAGTTTTAAATTGAGATTTTACATTGGTACATTTCCAACTGAAATCAACTCAAACATAAAATATCTCTTAGATAATACTTCATGGTACATCATAAATCCAAAGCTACATCTTCTTAACAGTAGTTTCCGATGTTATCCCAATATTTAAACTTCGGTTCAAGTGATGATCCCTTGTGCAAAATCATACAGGGCAGGCAGCTCCTGAACCAACCATATGAGTAAATGAGAAAGGGGGACAGGTAATTGGCTCACTCTTCCCTTTTCATCAGGAAGACAGGCACATTCCTAGCACTCACTTTTTGCAGATTTCTTGACTTTAATTGATGAACTACCACAACCCATGTCTTCTAGATGGCGTGAAATTGTTTCAACTTCTTATTTCCAGGTGGTGTGAAGAGCCGTGAGGAGCTACTCCTTAGCTGAGCCACTTCAGTCACAGACCCTGATGGAGAATACACAGGAGGGAGGGGAGGGAAGCAGCGCTGTTAACAACAAGGTATCTAAGGACTACTGGGCAGGATTCATTTTATGCTTCTTCTCAACTGCCGTTCATCATGTGATGTGGAAAGTGATCAGACTTAATCTAATCCTGGTTTATTTTCCACAACACAGGAGCAGCAAGGGAGCAGCTATAGACTGCTTTTCTGCTACACATAAATTATATTTTCCTTGTGTCTCAGTCAGATCAAGGTCTGTAGAAAATAAAGCATTAAAAACAATAAAAAGGAAATGTAAGATCATATAATTTTCTAACTGAAATATAGGAAATGGGATATGAAGGATCTGACATTATTTAACAGTTTTCGTTTTCAGCTCAAAATAATTAAATCTATCTGGGCTTTGAAAAACACAAATTGGAGACTGACTACGATAAACACACCACACACGCACACACACACACAATTTAAACAACAATGTCAAAATTCAAATCAAAGTGAGTTCTTTGACAATATTTCTTAGAATCTGTGGGGATATTTGTTTACAAAAAGGAGGCTTAAGTTATCCCCCCAAACTACAGCATCAGAATCCGTGGGAGTGCCCTTTTAAAACAAGCTCTCCCAGCTCTGACCAGTTTGTCTCAGTGGTTAGAGCATCCGCCCATGGACCGAAGGGTCTCAGGTTCGATCCCCAGCCAGGGTCATACAGAAGGCAACCAGTCGATGTGTTTCTCTCACATCAATGTTTCTCTCTCTCCCAGCTTTCCACTCTAAATATCAATGGAAAAATATCCTCAGGTGAGAATTAACAAAAAAATTAAATACGGAAAGACAAATATCACATGATCTCACTTATTTGTGGAATATAATGAACAGAACAAACTGATGAACAAAACAGACCCAGAGACATAGAAGTAGGGTACAGACTGACAAACCTCAGAAGAGGGGTGGGGATGGGAGGAAGAGATAAACCACAGAACTTATATGCATGTACGCATAACCAATGGACATAGTCAGCAATGCTGGGGACGGGGCAGGGGTGGGGGTAGCAGGATCGGGAGGAGGGTGTCAATGGGGGAGAAAGGAGAAACATCTGTAACAAAAATAAATTAATAAAAATTTTTTTTAATAAAAAAATAAATAAGTCTCCCAGTGTTTTTGAAACTCCTCCAAGTCTACCTTCCACTAGCTCACCATCCCTTCTGACGAGTTAGATGAAACTGCTGATGGGATCTTCCACAATCACTCCCTGGGAGTTCTCAACAAAATTCCTTTCCTCATCACTTTTTTGGGTGATGTTTCTGAAAGGGACCAAAAGTTCTGCCTTTTGGAATATTGATTTTTAAGCAGGATGTTAAAAGAAACAAAAGACTCAGAAAGAAACTTTGATTCTCCCCCTTTCTTGCCTAAGTGATTCAGATAGAAAAAAAAAAAAAACCTGCTTCAGGAAGAGAACCTTAGCATAATCATCTTAGTATTAGACAGGAAGACTCCAAGCAGGTGTCTGTTCACTAGACAACACCCCCACCCGCCACCATGTCTCCCTGTTTCTGGGTTGCCCAGCAACTGTATGTTACCCCTTTTCCTCAACTACCTGTAAATTGTCTACTCCTTTTGGTGTCTCAGACCCCCTACCTCCTCTTTCCCCTTTGTCCAAAATAACATATATAACCAATTTTACTTCACTGTCTTTGGAATTTCCATGCTTATATGAATCCCCCATGGGCATGTACTACAATGTGATTTTTTCCTATTAATGTGTCTCTGTTGATTTTATTATTAGCCCATCTAAAAGAACCTAGAAGGTGAGAGGAAAATATTTTTTAGCTCCCACATTTCCTTTATTTTTTGATGCTCCAAACCAACCTGATCTAATATATTTTCATTTCTTGATAGGAACAAAGTCAGAGAACAACTAACTGACTAGGGACCTTATGGGCACATCTGTTTTTCCATAGCACTACACTAAAAGCTTTGAAATGTCAACTCAACTGAAGAAAGGGGAAAACTAAAATGAGCAAAATATTGGAATTATGGACATTTAAAAAAAAATAACCTTAATAAACATATTCTAATCAGAGCTAGGCCCAATTCTTTTATGTGTTGAATCAATTTACCCTCTTAAACTTTAGGTTATTCGCAAATTTGATAGGCATTTCTTTCATATCTTTCTTAAATATTAACAAGGTCAGCTCCAAGGGCAAAGCAGCCCTTGTAGCATTCCACTCCAAACCATTCTCCAGGGTTACCGCAGAGCCATTACATTCACACCCTTGGAGAATATTTGTGCACTTAGGTGGCAAATTCACCCATCATAACTATTATCTTATTTATCTATGAGACATCCTTGGAAATCTTGCTAAATAATTTAGTGAAATTAAGATATATACTTTGACATCTTGACATTCCAGGCTATCCCAGCATTAGAAGAAGGAGAAAAAGAAGAGGAGGAGGAGAAGGGGAAGGGAGGGTGGGAAGGAAGGAAGAAAGGAAAGAAGGGAGAGAGGAAGGAGAAAGGGGAGGAGAGAGGAAGAAAGGAAGGAAATCAGTTTGGCATGATTTTTAATAACAGAACCACAGATGTATAAAGATGTGAGACCTTTAAAATTACCTGGAATTGACACAAAGTACAAAGAAGTTAAGCAACTCGCATAATTGTCATAGAGACAAATTGGTTATCAAACTTTGTTGTATATTAGTATTACCTGGGGAGAGTTTAAAACTCCCAATGATCAGACAGCACCTTATTAAATCAGAATCTCTTAGGGCTTAAAAAGAAACTGATGCCTGGATTCCCTTGGGTGGGATTGGGCATCTGGATTTTTTAAAGCTCCCCAGATGATTCTAACATGCAGCAAAGTTTGACAATCTCTAATAGAGACAATATTTTGGAAAACCCATGATGATGCCTAGTGAACATCACGTTTTCCTCTAAAATGCTTTTTGACTTCATCTGTTTGGAACAAAATTATTCCAGAAGTCATGTCAAGCTTATAAGGCTGTGGCTTCTGGCATCTACTCTTTCCTCATGTCTTCATTTTTGAAATTGGGGCACTAGTTACACATCACCTGCCTTCTCTCCATACTCAGAAACTTCTCTGAGGTTATCTGTAGTGCCTATGAGAACACACCTGCTGGGGTCTTCATCAGCCTTTGAAGTAGTTCATCTAGTTCTGCTGACTATATCCAAGTGCCCAGATTAGAGCTCTCCAACAGGAGTACCATAAGACTTACCACAGGAGATTATTAAAAATGCAGACTCCCAGACTTTACTGCCAATACTGGATTCAAGCAGTCTGGGGGACCTGGGAATCTGTGATTAAAGTGCACCATTCAGGGAACTTTGATGCAGGCACTCCCTGTATCTCAATCTGAGAAACACGGCTCTCTATAGCTTCCTTGGGCTTCACTTCCATCTTCATGCTATTTTCTCTACTCTTTTTATGAATATATAAGAGTTGGGCATTGAGTAGGCAACACTGATTCAACAATAGGAAGTAATATATTTCCATCTCGATTTTCTTTTTCCAGAAAAAGAAATAAAACAATATATCTCTCCAAAAGCATTTGGTTCTCAGCCACCCCTCAGTTAATTCATTATACAACAAAATTCCATATAAAAGATTCACTAGGAATTAAAAAGCATCATTCTTGAATATATTTCTGCTAGACTGTAAGCTCCTGGGGTATCTTTCTTTCTAAATACTCCTTGAATCTCTGGCACCTACACAGTGCCTTTAACATAGCAGGTATTTGATAAATGCTAAAATGAATGAATAAATGGATATTTCTAAAGAAGAAACAGTTTCCTGGGGCCTGAAATGGGTTCTTCAGCTCAAGGGGTGGGGAGAGTCAGCAGCGTTACAAAGACCCAAGGACAGGAACCACTGAAAAGGTGGCTCTTGGCCAAAACACAGCTTGAAACTTGCCCTATGCTGCTGCCCCTACCAATATATACTGAGGATGGATTTTAAGCCTAAACATAAAATAGTGACTCTTCATTGGCACTTACTTATAATTTGTAAAACGAAAGGTTTCTAAGGCTTCTGCTAAAAGGTTTTCATCGTGTGTGTGTGGAGGAGGGATGAGACGGGAGAAGTGGAGAGCTGTACCTTTTGATGTTGTTCAGTTCTTTTCATCCTAACCACTTTTCATTTCCAAAAGTGAAAATACAAAGAAAGAACAAAAGATGGCCCTTGGAGCAAGCTGAAGTCTGCTATCAAGTACCCTCCAAGCGCTAGCCCAGTCTCCCCAAGTTGTTCTTATTTTATTTCAAAGTGCATCTCTATTGAACCCTCACACCTTGACTCAGCCACTTTGATCTTGATCCCAGCTCTGGCATTCTGGATGTGAAGTGTGTGGTTTCCCATGCCAGAAGCTCAGCTTTTCTTAGAGAAAGCTCAGCTTTTGTGAGAAATCCCGGCTCTAGCTCTGGCCCCTAGGAAGCCAAATCTAGAACCCACAAGTCATTCAACTGTGGGCACACTGATAGAGGACAGATACCTTTTCAGGCTCACCCTGCTGATTTATCTTTTTTCTTCATCAAACCAGGGGTTCTACAGCCTGATGTCTGTGGCCTAAATATAACTAAGGGGGCATAGAGTAGAGGAGTCCCTGGCAGACCATGCTAGAAAGGCCCCTTCCACTGCTACCGTTCCATAAAACACTGTAGCATTTGTTTGTACCTGGGATCCTAAATGAATAGTGGGAGATCTGTAGGACTGAGCTGGTGATTGTTCCTGGATCTCATTAGATGAAAGGATAAGAAACTGTAGAAAACTATTCTGGCCACCAGAAGGTGTCTGAGGGTATCTGTTGTTATATCAGGCAGGATTGTGATCAGGAGGCAGCTTGGCCTGGTGCCAGTTTTCCAAAGTGTGTTTGTGGAAGCATAGTTCTATGGGGTTCATAATTCTAGGAATACAACAAAACAAACAAACAAACAAAAAGGTCCCACCATCAAATAAGTTCCCGAGAAGTAGATTTACACAAGTTTCTTTACTACAGGACTCCTCAGAACCTTCAATATGTTAATGTGCATTGTAAGACTGACTCTAAGGAAGAGCTATTGTGCCCAGTGTCTCCAAAACAGCCTAGCAGGCGACCCTTTTGAGCGAAAGCATCTCAAAAACATCTACAGATCCTAACTGCCTAATGGTAGCCCCATGGAGCCTGGAGTTGAGAAGTCAGACAAACCAAAGTTTAAATTCTTCTCAGCTAGTCATTAATTCCTCTGTACCTCAGTTTTCTCATAATGAAGTAGGGATAATAACATACTTTACATACTTGTACTGAGGACTAATGAGCAATTCTCAGCGGATGATTTAGGAGGGAGCACACATGGGTGGGTACCCACTGTGGTAGAAGTGTTGAAACAAAATTTGTGTTTGCTCAAATCTCCTACTTCCAAATGCATCGCCTAGGACCTTCCAGAAACTAAATCCCTTGGGTGTGTACAGGTTTTGGGATAATTGCTGATTCACAAGATATGGGCTCTTTTTCCCTGAGAACGCTAAGATCTGAAAGACTACTATATCAGTAATAATAATAATAATAAGAAGAAGAAGAAGAAGAAGAAGAAGAAGAAGAAGAAGAAGAAGAAGAAGAAGAAGAAAAAGAAGAAGGAGAGCTAAAAATCACCACTACTTATTAAGGGACTACTGTTTACCCAGTACAGTGTGTACTTTATATTTCTATTATTCCAGTTAATCTTCACAGCAACCTTCACAATGGTATCATCACTCCCATATTACAGATGAAGAAACTGAGACTCAGAAATTAAATATTGTACTCCATGGCACAGATAATCAGTAGCAGAACCAAAGCCCCACTCTGTTTAATCTTAAAGAACAAAGATGTCTGTCCACTTAAAGGTTCTCTATGCCTTGGTTTTGGGATCCAATCTGATCAATCTATGCAAGCACTAAATCACTAAAGAGAATTCTTGAACATTGCAAGGAATTGTTTCCCTTTCTTACAGACAGATGGGAACCCTGTGGTGCTCTGTGATAACAAGAGGACAAGAGAGCTAAAAAAAGATTTCTGAACATTCTGAACATGAAGTTGTACAATGGGGTTTGGAGAACAGCCCGTGAAGGGCCTAGAAGAGTTTCTTAAAGTATCCCTTCCCTCATTTTCTAGCTCTCACCCAAGTGACCACAGAGTTTTTCCAAATATCACGTTTATTTGAAATAGGCCACAACCCTTCAGATTACAAAGTATACCATTTTAAGATGGTGGCAAGTGATTTGCAATAAGCATCTTTGAGAAAAATCAATCTGAGAAACAGAAAAGCAATAAAATAAACTCCAAGGAGTGCACATTCCCTGTTCTGTTGCTACACAATATATGTTAATAATGCAGACTTCTGCTTCCCCAAAATACCTAAGAACAAACAAATATATTACCTGGTTCTTTTGCTTGGCCAGTGCAGAGGTTTTTCTTTACCCACCAAAAAAAAAAAAAAAAAAAAAAGTTCTCTATGAGGAATGCTGAGGTCTGAAAGAAAAAAAGGTAGAATTCAGCTCTCTCTGGAGCACCCCCTACGTACACATACACACTCCACACATCTCACATCTCTGCAGCTCTCTGCAGGATGAGCCCCAGCTTAAATAAATCAAGAAACAAACACACACCCGCACACACAAAGAAATAACCCAAACAGGCCCAGCTGCTTTGCCTTTCAGCCTGGAAGGCGAGCCCAGAGCCACAGATCGGGGACAGGCTGAGCGCTGGCCGGGAGCCACAGCTGTTTGCCCAAACCCTGCCCTGTTCCAGGCTAGGCGATAAGGGATGTGCTCAAGTAATGGGCTGCGATCACATGACTGCTTCCAGGGGGACCAGGCTCTGTACCAGCAGGACCAGGCAGCTGTTTGCGTAAATAATCTGCATCAGTACAAAGTGTAATAGAGAATTTTGCCAAATAAGGGCAGAAAAGCATTCGATGGCTGACTCTTTAGGTCAACCAAGACCCAAGAGTGATTTCTAAGAAACATTACAGTAACCTGGGTACAATTAAGAGAAGGAAGTGGAATCACTAAACACTCCTCCTTAGGACTTGAACAGGCATGGGTTAAGGAAGTGGCTGTTGGGTTCTGTGCTGCAAATTTATTTATATGACATTTTTATTCTTCCAGCTATTCAATTACCAGCTTGTTAGAGAACCCATCTGTGAAAGGAGATTCACCTCCCTCCATCGGCAGAAAGGGAAAGGAAAGTTGACCTGTAATTTTGCTGAGTTTGAGAAGAAAGAGGAGAGAAGACACAATTGAATAATCGAAATGTGGATGTCAGTACTGGATGAGACCAGCCACAGTTCTCGGCTGTCTTTTGAGGCAATCCAGGGGTGACTTGTTCCCAGAGTCTCATGCTGACTGCAGCTGCACTGATAGCAATTTTCCTCCCAGACTCTTCCTACTTGGTTACACAGCATATGGCCTCAGCTTACTGGCCTTAGGCATAATTATTTCATAACCCCACCCAAGCTGCTCTTTAGCCAATTTCTTTCTGCAATTGGATGCCACAAGAGATCCAGTAAAGCAGTTACCTAGCTTGCTATTTAATCTAATGGAGTCACTTTAAAAAAAATAAACAGAAAGATAGCTCTGGGCTTCTCTACTCCTATTAGCATATTAAATATTGTCAGAGGACCTCATTATGAGGTAATGCAACCATACAAGTTTCCATGGCAGGGACTCCAAGACCAGGACCTGATGAGGCTGCCATACACATTGTAAATGACAGCATAATTAGCCAGGCTCCTGAAAAAATAGTGGACAATGTCGCTATATGGCTGTGTTTCCAGCCGAATGCCTATTCAATCCACTCTGATTAAATGATGGCTATGTCTAAGTACAGTTGTTCAAATATCACCTCCTGTGTGTGAGGCCTTTCCTAAATCAGAACAGGGGACTTTGTCACTCTGTCTTCTGGCACTCAAAGCCATATGTATGTCCAATTATAGAACTTTCCAAAGTGCACAGTCATTTGTCCTTTTACATGTGAAATCCTGGAAGGGAAAGGATCCATTTTGTTCGTCTTCCATTCCCAGCACCAAATGCAATAAGAGGTACTCACCAAATATTTGTTTAATCACAGAAAGAAAGAAAAGGAGAGGAAAAAACTCATGATTTAGGTAGTTATTTTAATGACCAGTTTCTGAACCATGAATTGGATTGGCTGTGCCCTTTATGTGACTTTTCTAAAACTTAAAATTTGCTTAAAATGAAGAACTTCACCATATTTTTCCATTGTACAATGATAAAATGCTACTTTGAGCACCACAAAGTGTCCTATAGCCAACTTCCAATTATTAAATGAATGAGCGTTGATATATGTGAATAAATCACAATAATGATAGTAACATTCATTGAGTACTTATTATGTTCTAGGCACTTACTAATTTTTCATATGTTAATATTATTTAATCCACACACCATCATATGAGGCATACACCATTATTATCATTATTTCTACATTAGGAACTATAGCCCAAAGTCAAACAGCAGAGCTGGGATTTAAACACAGGCGCTTTCACTCTAGAACCTTTACTTATAATCATTACACTATACTGCCTCAGTCAGCACCTTTTATGTTCGTGAAATTATGTTTCCAGCTTCTACTCAGATGTTCTCTGGCTTTCCTCCAGCTGAGGACGGATGTGTTTTCCTAGCCTGGAAAAAGAAAAAATAATGGGTCAATTTATCTCTCAATGGGCCCATAATCATATAAGAACAGCCAACAGGAAAGATGAGAGCTCATTTCCCCCCAGGGAAGGCCATAGCAATACCACATCATCCTTAACTAAGATGCCCCATGCTGTCTCATTCAATTCAGCACATTTTTGTTGAACACCTCCTATGTGGCAGGCAATGTGATGGGGGGACGGACATGAATGGTAAAACAAAATAGAAATGATTAGGTGAGGCAAACACACAGGTAAATGAGAAATTAAAATCTGTCTCTCCTATTGGAATATAAGCCCAAGGTACCTAAAACAGTGCCAGGTACATAATATTTATTATATGAATAAATGAAAGCAATACAGTGTAAGATCTCTAACAAGACAATTAGGGGACACAGAAAAGGAGCCCCATCCCAGAAAGGGGGCTGAGGGAAGGCTTTCTAGAAGTATTGCCTAGGCTGAGACCTGATGATTGAGGAGACAGAGTTAAGAGTTAGCCAGAAGAAGAGGTAAGGGAGATGAGGATGTTCTTGTAGACATGTATATTTTATAGTAATTAACAAGGATGTGAAATGAGAGAGGTGAAGTAAAAATCAGAATGAACTGTGACCGTAATTATAATGCTGCAGTTAAGACTTTCAAAAGGGTAGAGAAAGGTATCTGTTATGATTGAAAAATGGCTGCCTCTCCAACTCTGTAGGCTAGATTTACTCTTTATTGGCTATCTTTGCTGTTTTTCTTTCCTTTATTACTTCCTCACTCCCCTACTGAGTTTTCCTTCACCTTCCAAATAAACTTTTTGCTCTCAAATGCTTGTCTAAGGGTCTGTTGCTAAGGAAACCAAAACCAGCACCTTGGTTAGTCTATGGTAGTAGTAAACTATGGAAAGATAGAGGAGACAGAGAAGGCTGGTTACCTCACAAGGAAGAGACTGGGCACTGCAGGCCAATCTCTCCTATTTCACAAGCTTCCTGGAGCTGGCCACAGTTCCAGAAAAGTAATTCTAATGGGTTATGATACACACTGGGGAATATGCTAAAATGTAGGCAAAGCAGCTAGATTTGGGAGTAAATTGAGAAAACAACACTGTGTACAGATCTGTTTGGTAGTGAGTACTTAAGGTGTTCATCCACTTGTGGTCCCTGATACCTAAATGCCCAATAGCACCAAGAGGGGGTAGCTCGGATTGGGCTGGCCTCTCAGCTAGCCTTCTGGTGCTGGGGCTAGTGGTAAGCAATCATATCCAATCCCAGCTTCCTAGCTCCTGGTAGTCTCCAAATTGAGGTACCTACCCCACATCAGAAGCATAGATCTGTTGGAAAATAGAAAGCAAAACATTAGAATTTGTATTTTTATCATTTTATTCTTTTTGAATTTTCTATTTTCATGTATGTTTGGTAATATACACAATATATGAGTTCAGTAGTATTAGTTGCAAATAAATAAATATACCTGTATTGGGGTCCATTCTCAGAAAGCTTTTACCGTGAGAGGTTCACAATCAAAAACATTTGAAGAACCCTGATTTAAAGAGCCTGCTCCCTTTTGAAGAGAAGGGATAATAAGTAATATTATTATTTTTTATTTATTGACTTTAGAGAGAGAGAGGAAGGGGGAGTGAGAGAGAGATAGAAAACATCAATGAAAGGGAACATCGATTGGCCACCTACTGCATGCCACCCACTGGGGATCAGGCCCACAACCTGGGCATGTGCCCTGACTGGGAATGGAACCTGGGACCTCTTGGTGCATGGGTTGACGCTCAACCCCTGAGCCACACCAGCCGGCGTAATATTATGTTTAAATAGAGAAAGAATCATGTATATTTTCAGGAATAAGTTCTAAGTATTGAAAAACTGCATTAAGTAGGAGAAAAAGGAGGCCAGATTTGGCAAGTAATTTGAAAGTCATTCAAAGACATCAAAGGTGGGTTACAACAAACTAGCGATATACATGAATGAATCTCAAAGGCATTATGCTCAGTAAAAGAAGCAGGCTTAAAAGGTTGTGTACATTTAAATGAGAGTTTCAAAAGGACAAAACCGCAGTGATGGAGCACTGATCACTGGATGTCAGGGGTGATGGGTGGGGGAGGGTGTGACTACAAGGGGATAGCAGAGGAAATTTTGGAGGGTGATGTTCTATATCCTAATTATGGTAGTGGTTATGATCTTCTATCCATGTGTCCAAATTCATAGAACTGTACAGCAAGTTGATTTTACTGTATACTAATTTAAAAATAATTTTTTCAGAAAGCTTCAGAGCTAGCTCTGGTTTAGTGCCTTGGGTCTGCAGATATTAAAGTCCCCATGGGCTGACTTGGACTGTGAGAGGCCCTTCCTAATCACAGCCAGAAGGAGTATTTTCTGCTGTAAACTATGAGCACTAAGGAAAACACTAGCCCTTCCCTCTGACTTTACTTTTAGCTCTCTAACCATGGGCAAAACTCAAAGAACAGAGCTCCCAGGCAGAAAACAGCCCATCCACTCTTTCCTCAACAGATACTTACTGAGCATGTTCCAGCTACGAGTCAGGGATGCAAAAATGAATGAGCTCTGGTTCATTTCCATGCCAAGTGTACAGTGTAATGAGGGGCACAGGCCTGTTCACAAATAATTTCAAAACAGGCAGTATAGGTCCAGAGATATGTCACTTAATACTGGAGTCCAGAAGTATATCAGTTCAGTCAGGGCAAGTCGAGAAATGTTTCATAGAGAATTAAAAGGTGGCAAAGACATTCCAAGGAACATGGGAGCATGTTATATTTGAGTAACGTTTCCTGAGACTGGGGGCTAGAGGGCTTATGGAGTGGAGGATGGGGACTTGAACCTGGAGAAGTAGGTTGGTGCCAACTGTGATGGTTCATGCAAATCATAACAAAGAATTTAACCAGTTTAAATTCAACCAGTCAGTCAGGGATTGCAATTACAAATACTTACATGAGCTGGGGCAGATAATATAAATGAATAAAACAGCCTGAGTGGACGACATAATAAAGGTCATATATGAAAAACCAATAGCCAACATCATACTCAAAGGGCTGAAACTAAAAGCATTTCCCTTAAGAAGAAGAAGAAGACAGGGATGCCCACTTTCACCACTCTTATTTAACATAGTACTGAAAGTCTTAGCCACAGCAATCAGACATGAAGAAAAAATAAAAGGGATCCAAATTGGAAAGGGGAAAGTGAAACTGTCATTATTCACAGGTGACATGATATTATACATAAAAAACCCTAAAGACTCCATCAATAATCTGCTAGATTTAATAAATGAATCTGGCAAGGCAGTAGGATACAAAATTAACATCAAGAAATCAACAGTATTCTTATACATCAATAATCAACTCACAGGAAGATAAACTAAAAGGCAATCCCATCTACCATTGTGGCAAAAAAATTAAGATACCTAGGAATAAACTTAATCAAAGAAGTAAAGAATCTATTTGCAGAAAACTACAGGACATTGAAAAAAGAAATGAGGAAGATATAAAAAACTGGAAGCACATACCTTGTTCATGGATTGGAAGAATTAACATCATTAAAATGTCCATACTACCCTAAGCAATGTATAGATTCAATGCAATCCCCATCAAAATACCAACAACAGCCCTGGCCAGTTTGGCTCAGCGGTTAGAGCATCAGCCTGCAGTCCACAGAGACCCGGGTTCGGTTCCCGCTAAGGGCACGTACCTTGGCTGCAGTTTGTCCCCGGCCCTGGTTGGGTCGTGTGGGTGGCGGCCACTCGATGTGTCCCTTTCACATCGATGTTTCTCTCTCTTCCTCTCTCTCCTTCCCGCTCTATCTGAGTAAAAAATGGAAAAATGTCCTCGGGTGAGGATAAAAAAAAAACACAAAAACAAAATACCAACAACATATTTCACAGAACTAAACAAATACTTCAAAAGTTTATATACAACCAAAAAAGACCCCGAATAGCAACAGCAATCTTGAAAAAGGAGGACAAAATAGGTGGGATCACAATAGCAGATATCAGGTTATACTACAAAGCCACTGTAATCAAAACAGCCTGGTACTGGCACAAGAACAGCATATAGATAAATGGAACAGAACAGAGAATCCGGAAATGGACCCAAGACATTATGCTCAATTAATATTTGACAAAGGTGGCAAGAGCATACAGTGGAGTAAAGACAGCCTCTTTAATAAATGGTGTTGGGAAAATTGGACAGCTACATGCAAAAAAATGAAACTAGACATTCAACTTACACCATACACAAGAATAAACTCAAAGTGGATAAAAGACTTAAACATGACTCGCAAATCCACAAAAATTCTAGAAGAAAATGTAAGAAACAAAATTCCAGACATCATACACAGCAGAATTTTCACTGATACATTACCTAAGGCAACAGAAACGAAGGAAAAAATGAACACATGGGACTATATCAAACAAAAAAGCTTCTGCACAGCAAAAGAAACAATCATCAAAATGGAAAGGCTACCCACTGTATGGGAGAGCATAACTGCCAATGATACATCAGATAAGGGGCTAATTTCCAAAATATATAGTATGCTCATACAACTCAACCAAAGGAAGACAAAGAACCCAATTTAAAAATGGGCAGAGGACCTGAATAGACACCTCTCCAAACAGGACATACAAATGGCCAAGAGACATATGAAGAAATGCTCAACATCATTAATCATCAGAGAGATACAAATTAAAACAACTATGAGGTATCACCTCACATCTGCCAGAATGGCTGCCATCAAAAAATCTTCAAACAACAAGTGCTGGCGAGGGTGTGGAGAAAAGGGGACCCTAGTACACTGCTGGTGGGAATGCAGACTGGTGCAGCCACTATGGAAAACAACAGTATGGTGTTTCCTCAAAAAATTAAAAATTAATCTGCCATTTGACTCAGTGATCCTACTTCTAGGAATATACCCTAAGAAGCCTGAAACACCAATCAGAAAGAATATATGTACCCCTATGTTCACAGCAGCACTATTTACAATAGCTAAGATCTGGAAACAGCCCAAGTGTCCATTGATAGAGGAGTGGACAAAAGAGCTGTGGTACATATACACAATGGAATACTATGCAGCTGTAAGAAAGATCTCTTATCCTTTGAGACGACATGGAGGGACCTGGAGTGTATTATGCTAAGCAAAACAAGCCAATCAGAGAAATACAAATATCACATGATCTCACTTATTTGTGGAATATAATAAACAAGGTGGGCTGATGAACGAAATAGACCCAGAGACATAGAAAGGAGTATGGTTCAGACTAACAAACCTCAGAGTAGGCGGGGGAGAGATTGATGGGGATGATGGTGTCTAGGGGGCAAAAAGGAGAAACATCTGTAACAAAAATAAATTAATAAAAATTGGAGAAAAATAAGTATATAAAACAGTCTGAGTGGAAATGATGGGGCATTCTAGAGAGTTTCTGTCTAAGTGAGGCAGCTGCTACTTATTGGTAGCTCCCTCTAAGGCTGCCATCCAGAAATCCTGGCCCAGTGTTACCCGATGTAATTTTTTCAAGAGAAGCTGAACATATTTTTATGCGAAATCTCCCTATTTTTAAATATGAGTATATTTCTGCAAATTTAAGATGCCATTGATTATAAGGTGCATCACCATTTTATGTACCAATAAAAAAGCAAAAAGCCACCTATCAAACTATGACACTCCATTGATTTTAAGACTCACTCCAATTTCAGAGGTGCTAAAATGTGAAAAAATGTGCATCTTAGAATCAATGAAATACTGTCATTCTCATTTTCTTAAAACATTGTATAAACTCCATGTATTCAGTGTGAGGTTGCCAGATTGCAAACTCTGAGTGTAGGGGAGTCTCAGAGTAATCTGATTAGATTCCAACTTTAGGAAGATCACCTTGAGGGTCAGATGGTAATGAACTGGGAAAAAGCCAGCCATAAATAGACCAATGAGGAAGCTCCTGCCACAATCCAGGAGATAAATATAAGGGCTGAATTAAAGCCCGGGCAGTGAGGATGGAGGGGAGGGCTCAAATATAAAAGCCTTTTATGTACAAAACACCACTAGTCCCACACTGGGCATAGGGAGCACAGAAGACAGAGGTATCAAGAATGACTCCAAGGTTTCTAGTTTGGAATAATAAATGAAGTCATCACTTATTTAACATTATTTACTGGGTGTCTACCTTGTACCAGGCACTATGTTTGGTGCTAGAAGTACAATACTGGTCCCTTCTCTCTTATAATTTACAGTCTAGGTGATGCCATTAATTGCAGAATAGTATTAAAGATACAGGGGTAGGATATGAAGGGGGACAAGTGTATTTACAATGGAGAAAAAT